CACATCATCATTATCAGATATTTTCTCATAAAATGTTTCATTCTTACCTACAGGGTCACTCACGGGAGTGACTTTTTCACTTGGCTGATTGAGTTGCTTTCCACTTCTAAGAGTGACAGCCTTTGCTTGCTCTTGGTCATTCTCCTTGGGGTTTACAACCGTATCACTGGGCAGGCTTCCAGATGATCTTTCAGCATTTTGTTTTGCAATCTGGGCCAACTGATTCTCCAAACTTTTGCAAGACACCGCCAAATTCTTGATTGCATTTTGCACAGAAATCCATTCATCTTCCCTTGGTATGTACTGCTGGTTAGAAAGCTGCTAATTCTGATAGTTGGGAGGTTCACCATCTTGTCTGTGAAATCCTGGGGGTTGAGTAGGCCTCTGATAGTTTCCATGTTGTGGTGCATTGTTCCAGTTAGGCTGCTATTTATTTCTCCAACTGTTGAAGTTGTTGAATCCCCCAGCATTGCCCTGTCTGACAAACTGGACAGCTTCCATTTTGGAGGGACAGTCATCCAAACTGTGGGATCCATCACATAATACACACACTTCAGCCTTGGATTTGGACAACTCACTCCTGAGTTTAGTCATTTCATTCATCATAACAGCCATTTGTGCTTGCAGGTGTGTACTGGGATCAAGTTCCATCATCCCTGGCTGTTTTGTACTTGTCCTTGGATCAGATTGCCATCTTGAATGGTTGGTGATCATATTGTCGAGCAACTGCCTTGCTGCATCAACCGGCTTCATCATAAATACACCACCAGCTGCAGCATCAAGGGAGTCTCTTGTAGTTGGTAGCAGTCCATTGTAGAAGATGCTCAGTTGAAGATGCTCTTCCAAACCATGCTGAGGGCATTTCCTGATCATTTCCTTCAGTCTTTCTCATGCTTCATAGAGTGTTTCTGTTCCATGCTACTTGAAGTTCATTATTGCTGTTCTGAGTTGTGCAGCTTTTGCGGGTGGAAAAAATTTTGTCAGGAAATACTGTCTTAACTCTTCCCAAGTGGAAATAGAGTTGTTAGGTAATGTGTTGAACCATGCTTGGGCGTGATCTTGCAAGGTAAAAGGGAATAACCTCAGTCTAATATCATCATTAGATAAGCCTTGAATTTTAAAAGTACTGCATAAACGCAGGAAACTTCGGATGTGATCATTAGGATCTTCATGAGGTAATCCATGGAATGGGCAGGCTGATTGAGTGCATTGGATCGTCTATGGCTTGAGCTCAAAATTGGTTGCTTCTACATCAGGGAACACTAAAGGGGATTGGACTTTTTCTTGCTGTGGGATGAAGAAATCTCTAAGCAATCTCTCTGGTCGATTTTGTTGATCCCCACCAGGGTTCCTATTGTTCTCCGGGTTACCACCTTGGTTAGCCATTTCTGATGAACCTTCTTGGTTGTCCTGTTGCAACCGGTTACGCTTCTTCTTGCTGCTCCGGTTCTACGTATGGTAGCTTCATTTCGGGTCAAAACAGGTTCACTTCGTTGGTGCCTTCTAGTCATACATCAAAGAAAAGAAACTGGAAGCTTAGCGAGGTAACCAGAGAAGAATTTTATATATGTACAAAAACAAAAACAACAAATTTTTTTGGAGGTTTTACGCCGTCCCCGGCAACGGCGCCATTTTCTGGTTCGTGCCGAGTTCACCAAAAATATTACTAGCTTAGATTATGATTTTTGTAGATAATAGAAGATAGGTCGATCCCACGAGGACAACTAATTACCAAATTTGTTGTAAAAAAAGACTACCAATCAGACAAGGTGTCACTCAGGGGAATGGAGGCCAGGGGTGTTCTTCTCCTCTTCTTACTGTTGTAGTTGTTATTAGCACTGTAATGGTTGAGCTCTTGTTCATTCAGCTCACTTATAACTCTAAGTCAGTTTCCATTTTTCCTAAAGTCATCCTTGCAACCTTAACAATCTATTTTCCAATGATTGATTCCAGATTCAAAGTCATTAAGTTCTTAGGCCTTCAAGAATGCTTATGTTAACTAAGTATATTCCTATCTTGGTTAAAACCATAGACTGTTACCTCTATGTCATAAGTTAAAGTTGAAACAATCCAAACCAAGTTTATCTTTCCAGATCTCCCTTAGTTCTAGCATGCATTCAATTTAGTGATCAAGTAAATGAATGTAGAAAAACTTTCAACCTTAAAACAAGAAACAAAACCAGTGCATTGCAACTACGACGTAAGTTGAGAAGAATAACCCCTGGAAACTGTTTAGCTACTCATATAGATTAATGCTACATCTACTACATCAACAGACATCATAGAAGTATGCATAATAAACAAAGTTCAAGCTAACAGTCAAGAGACGAGAAAAAAGCTTGTGCAGTTTCTGAGCCACTCCTGGGAGTGAAAGGGTTCACTCATGGAACTGAAGCAGAAACTGGGTTGGCTACTCTTCAACTTAGCTTCCTTACTGAGTTGTTGCTGCTTCTTCTTCCTTCTTGCCTTCTACCTGGAGTTTTTCTGTGTGTTTTTGGCAACTGAAGGGTAACCAGAGATTGAGATAGAGATATCCATGTCTTCTGAGAGTGCAGTTCCCTCTTTTATAGGGCCTTGCAGCCGATTCTTTTCATCATGAGAGCCTCCCCATGCTTGTAATTGTTTAATCCTCCCAATGCCTTGAGCCTGGAATCCAAACTTGGCTGTTCTTCTTCTCTTCTTCCAGAAGTGGCAGCATTGCTCTCATTGATCAGCAGGGGAGGCTGAAATTTCGGCTGGGGGACAAGCATGCTTCTTGGAGGGGACATGCTCATTAATGGCAAGATGCTTCTTGTCTAAGGAGGTGCTTCTTCGTCTAGCTCAACAACATTTGCCTCAGCAGCCCACAAATTGTTCCCTTGACCTTAATTTTTCAGCAATTTTGCAATCAAACCCCAACCTAACAAAAACACAAAAACTGGTTAAGTAAAGTGCACTAATAATAGGAAATACCCCCCAATTTCTTGCTAATTCAGAGTTAATTGTGATGCTTTTATGTAACAAATAAACCATTATCAACTCCCCCAAACTAGAAGAATAGCTTGTCCTCAAGCAAAACAACTAAACTCTTGTTTGCACTTTCAGAATTGCAAATAACAAACAGGGGAAAACAACATTGTCAAGATGACTGAAGACTGGCTTACTCCCGTGAGTGAGGATTCCCACTCAGGCAGGTGACACTAAACAAAGCAACAACCTTAAACACAACTAGATGGGTGCTGTCAACCTTTTGTCTCAGATTCAAGTGAAGAAAACATACATTTAAGGATACCAAATCTTTCTGCAATCCAGAGTCAAACAACCAACCTTCACAGGGAATTAGAATGTATATGCCACAAGTGTTAGTTCATGCCAAACCTACCAACCCATTCTAAGTTAACCGGTTAAGCTTTTGGTGGTCATTCTTGTGATCTGGTCTTGCCCAAGTTACTTGACTCGATTTACCTACTGAGGCTTTAATCGTGGATTTCCTGCACAGCCTTTCTGCTTTCTCTTCTTCTTTTTTTTTTGTAGAAAAGCAGGCTGTGAATGGATACCCCAAAGGAAGTCTCAGATTTACGGCATCTCTCATCTAATTGTAGCTCAGAACTAGACACAGCTCACAACAGTGGATTAGTCATGCCAAATTTTTAAACTTTATGTTCCAGGCAGTCACTTCCACGAATGGCATTGTTCATGTGTGTGAGTGAGTGTCAGGCCATTCTTTCCTTCATGCATGAGACTTAGTATCAAAAGTGGTTTAGCAAAATTGTTTTTCAAAACCATTATCATCCTAGACCGTTGACAGCTCCTTAGAAAATTTTCATTTTTGAGAGATATTTTACAGAGTCGATCTAGACATGAACCTAATGGACCTAAATGACAACTGTCCTGACATTGACCTAACCACAAACTAACTGACCTAACCACAAACTAACTACTACATTACTCTCCCAAACTTATTCTAAGCATTGCCCTCAATGCTTAACAAAACAAACCCGGCAACACACATTAAACGAGAAAACAAAGAAAATACGAACTAACGAGAAATTCATCATTTTAATAGAAAAAAAAATTGCTGATTAAGGGAAGTAGAACAACACTTCCCTGAGTGTTCATTGAGGCATGCCATGGAGTGGGTGGACTGGTGGATCATGCGGCATTGGGCAGTTTTCAGGGCATCCAATACACTTGTGCATTTCCTGCAGGAATTTCTCTGTCCTCATCTGGCATTGGTGGACATAATCCAGGATGAACCTGGTCTGCTTGTTGAAATCCCTCTGCCTCAATTGTCCAGCTGGAGTGGGAGTGGATGTTGCTTGTCCTGAGGATGAGGCATCTGGGGGTTTTTGGTCCAACTTATGCATCCTCAATGGTTGCTGCAAGTTGCTCTCTACGTCTGTGTGTAGGAAGGTCACCCCTGCCCTCTTGCAAAGCATGGTGATCATAACTGGAGAATACCAGCTCTTCACCTTTGGATCAGTGATGCATTGGGTGAGCTGATCTCGGATGACTGAGACTGCATCAAATGGTGTGTCCGTGACAATGGCATACAGCAACAGAGCCATCTCATAGGTGACCTTAGCGGTGTAGGATGTTGGCATCGATTGCAGCGAGATGAAATGGTGCCACAAATTTAAATCGGGCATCCGTAACGCGTTTGCTGGAAATTCCAGAGGGTTTTCTTGATCATCCATCTCCCACTTGTGCCTTCTTTTGCCAATCTCGGCGAACGGCGTGTTCCAGTGGTTGATTTGGATGCGGGCAGCAAGGGTTTCCCGTAATCGTGCTGATTCTTGGTAACTTCCGGATGGCCCCGATAGCTTCGTGCCGCAATTGACGCCGATGCCTCGACAAATACTTCGTCTCGGGGCGGTGTGGAAGTTGCTATAGAATTCTTGCACAATCTGGATCCTAGGCTTGACAGTGGGTTGGAGAAGGTCTCCCATCCATGGCGCATTATATAGGTGAAAGCTGCACTATCTTCACCGATTCCTCTTTCGGTAATAAATTTCCGGCGTATGTGCTTCAAAAAGAAATCCCAGCCCTTCTTTCTTGGAAACAACCTCGGCTCCCACTCATCGGTGATGGCATTGAGGGCTTGTTCTTGCAAAGCCCTTGGTGGTTGTGGAGGCGGCGGTGGAGTAGGTTCTCTGGCAGGGGATGGTGGTGGAGTGGGCATTCTTTGCCGTTCAGGAGAGGGCGAGGATGAGGAGGATGATATCCTTCTTCTTGTGTTGGAGGCGTTTTTGCGGGCAGCAACCTTCCTTCTTGCCGGCGGCATCTTGTACAAACCCTAGGGATTGAATTGGCAAATTGAAAGAGGGATTTTTTTATTGAATCTGAATTTTTGCCTTAGTTGCCTGAAAACTCAGAGAAATTGTCAGTACGTTCACACAGGGAAGTGGTAATTGAATAGGTGGTTCTGGAAATAGGGAGAAGATGAAGAAGACGAAGCAGTGGAGGAGTTGTGAATTAATGCACAGCAGTTAAAGTTTTTGGGGAGTCGTGGCTGACTCGAGTGACTCAAAAAAAAACGGACGCGGTTAAAATTGAATTTTGAAAATTTCCGGAAAAATTTTCCCCCCAAACTCAAGCCATAATTACAGCTCAAAAAGGTGAGTTTTTGCAGAAAGTGTTGTACAGTTGTTCTTACTCGGGCGAGTGGATTGTCCCACTTGCGTGAGTGACGTCAGGGTTAGAAGACTTACAGCATTACTTTCCCGTAGGTTCACTCGGCTGAGTGACCTTCTTCACTCCTAGGAGTGAGTTTACATGAGGCCTTTTATGTTACACTTTCTGAAATCTGTTGGGGGTGGCAAATACCTTGTCCATTCCTGCAAAATTAAAATAGCACATTGTTAGCCACATAAAAGCAAAACGTATCGGTTGCCTCCCATAAAGCGCATTGGTTTTAAGTCTCATGCCAGACTTCAAAAGAGTTCTCAGTTAAGTTCCTTTAGGACCAGAACATGATAGTTCTGTCCTTTACTCCCTTCTGTCCATCCAAGGTATGGTTTAAGCCTCTGACCATTAACCAAAAAGGTGTTGCCATTCTGTGGATTCATTATCTCTACTGCTCCTTGAGTTAGGACCTTGTTGATTCTGTAGGGACCAGTCCATCTTGACTTCAACTTCCCTGGAAAGAATTTCAGTCTAGAGTTGAACAGCAGGACTTCTTGTCCTTCTTGCAGATCCTTCTTGACAATGTGTTGATCATGGTAGGCCTTAGCTTTTTCCTTATAAAGCCTGGAAGATTCATATGCCTCTCGTCTGAATTCTTCCAGCTTATTCAACTGTATCAATCTCATTTCCTTGCCTTTGCCTGGATCAAGATTCAGTTCCTTGATAGCCCAGTAAGCTTTGTGTTCCAACTCCACTGGCAAGTGGCATGCTTTCCCATAGACCAATTTGAACGGGGACATACCAATGGGAGTCTTGTATGATGTTCTGTATGCCCATAAAGCTTCATCCAACTTTGAGGACCAATTCTTTCTAGTAGAGTTGACAACCTTTTCCAGGATTCTTTTCACTTCCCTGTTTGACACTTCTGCTAGCCCGTTTGATTGTGGATGGTATGGTGTTGATACTCTGTGCCTGATTCCATATTTCTTTACCATGGCTGCAAATGACTTGTTACAAAAGTGTGGTCCTTCGTCACTGAGTATCATCCTGGGTGTACCAAATCTGGCAAAAATATTTTTTCTTAGAAACCTAAGAATAGTCTTAGCATCATTATTTCTTGCAGCTCCAGCTTCTATCCATCTTGAAACGTAATCCACTGCCAGTAGGATGTAGGAGTTCCCAAAGGATGACACGAAGGGACCCATGAAATCTATCTCCCATAGATCAAACAGCTCCACTTCAAGCATGTTCTACTGTGGCATCTCATTTTTCCAGGAAATGTTTCCTGTCCTTTGGCACCGGTCACAGCCTTTGATAAATTCTCTTGCATCTCTGAACAGAGTTGGCCAATACAGCCCAGCTTACAGAACCTTGATTGTCGTTCTTTGACCGTTGAAATGTCCACCATAGGGAGAATTGTGGTATTTATGCAAGCGTGAATTCGATTCGGAATACACCTTCTGATCAATTGGTCTGCACATCTTTTGAATAAGTAGGGTTCTTCCCATGGGTAGAGTTGAGCATCATGCAAGAATCTCTTGCGTTGTTGAGAGGTGAGATCTGGGGGAATAACACCAGCAGCAACAAAGTTAGCAAAATCTGCAAACCAAGGCTCATTACTGTCACTCCCATGAGTGTGCCTGTCACTCGCCAGAGTGACTCATCAGGGAATTTTTCTGAAATTGAAGTTGTGTCTTCTGGAATTTCTTCAAGTCTTGACAGATGGTCTGCTACCTGATTCTCAGCACCCTTTCTGTCTCTTATCTCCAAATCGAATTCCTGCAACAACAACACCCATCTAATCAACCTAGGCTTAGACTCTTTTTTGTTGATCAAGTACCTGATGGCAGCATGGTCGGTATAGACTATGACTTTCATCCCTAGCAAATAAGCTCTGAATTTGTCAAATGCAAATACAATTACCAGCATTTCCTTCTCTGTAGTGGTGTAGTTGATTTGTGCAGGGTTGAGGGTTTTACTAGCATAGTAAACCACATGTAACACCTTGTTCCTTCTTTGTCCAAGTAAAACACCAACTGCAAAATCACTAGCATCACACATTAGTTCAAAAGGTTGTGACCAATCAGGTGTGATGATCACAGGTGCAGTGATGAGTTTCCTTTTTAGTTCAGTGAATGCAGTTAAACAGGATTCATCAAAAATAAAAGCAGTGTCCTTTTCAAGCAACTTACACAAGGGTTTAGAAATTTTTGAAAAATCTTTAATGAACCTCCTGTAAAAACCGGTATGGCCTAAGAAACTCCTCACTCCCCTGACTGTGGTTGGCGGGTTGAGCCTCTCAATGACTTCAATCTGTGCCTTGTCCACTTCAATTCCTTCCTGTGAGATTTTATGCCCCAAGACAATTCCCTCGGTCACCATAAAATGGCATTTCTCCCAGTTGAGGACTAGGTTTGCTTCTATACATCTCTTCAATATCAGTCCAAGGTTGTCCAGACATGCATCAAATGTCTTACAAAAAACCGAGAAGTCGTCCATAAAGATCTCAATTATGTCTTCCACCATATCAGAGAAAATGGCCATCATACATCTTTGAAATGTTGCCGGTGCATTGCACAGTCCAAATGGCATTCTCTTGAAGGCAAATGTGCCATAAGGGCAAGTGAAAGTCATCTTCTCTTGATCATAAGGGTCTATGGCAATCTGGTTATAACCTGAGAAATCATCAAGGAAACAATAATACATAAATCCAGCCAATCTATCCAACATTTGATCAATAAAAGGAAGGGGAAAGTGGTCCTTTCTGGTAGCTTTATTAAGCTTTCTGTAGTCCATGCACACTCTCCATAAATTGTTCAGCCTTGTAGGGATTAGCTCCTGGAGGTCATTCTTCACCCACTTGCTATTAGATATTGGGAAGATGATTCCAGCATCCAGCAGCTTGATAATCTCTTTTTCACCACTTCCTTCATGACTAGGTTGAGTCTTCTTTGTCCTTCAATGGTTGGCTTGGCATCGTCTTCAAGCAAGATCTTGTGCATACATATGGAAGGATGATGCCCTTAATGTCCGCAATTGACCAACCAATGGCTTCCTTGTGCAATCTCGGTACTCTCAGCAATTTGTCCTCTTCATGCACTGTAAGCATAGAAGAAATGATCACGGGTAAGGTGTTACTTGCTCCAATATAGGCGTACTTCAAATGTGAGGGCAGAGGATTAAGTTCGAGATGAGGTGGTTCTTCAATTGAAGGTTTGAGGCATCTTCCTTCCTTAGTCGATCTAACAGTTCAAAGGGTTGTTGTTTAGGATGCCACTTGGGTGAGTGGTTCGAGTAACTCGGTCAAGTGGCCCCGTACTCGTTCCTCCTTCTTGTTCCTCATTATAGTCTGGGCACAGAAGTTCCTTGAGGAGCTCATCTTGCAGTAATTCTTCTGTCACTGCTCCTTTTGCTTCTACACTTCTTACCATGTAGCAGTTATGGATTTCAGCAGTATATCTCATATTTTTGAAGATGTTGAAGGTAAGCTTCTCTCCATCAAAGTGCAGTGTGATTTCTCCCTTCTTCACCTTAATGATTGCATCACTTGTTGCCAGAAAAGGTCTCCCCAGGATGATGGGCACATCCCTGTCTTCTTCCATGTCCAAAACCACAAAGTCTGTTGGGTAAACAAAATTACCAACCTTCACAAGGACATCATGTAAGATTCCCTTTGGGTAGGTCAGTGACCTATCCGCCAACTGCAAGGTCATGTTAGTAGGTACCAGAAATTTGTCCAAATCAAGTGATTTAAATACAGACAATGGCATGAGATTTATGTTTGCCCCAAGATCTAATAATGCTTTGGAAAATTCTCTGATTCCTACTGTACAAGGCGAGTGAAACTACTGGATCTTTCAACTTAGTTGGCAATTTTCTCGGGATAGCCGCACTACATTCTTCATTTAGAGTGACAAAAGCAGAGTCATGCACTTGTGGTTTATTGGCCACCAAATCCTTCAAGTACTTGAAGTATTTAGGCATTTGTTTAAGTGCATCAACAAGTGGTACATTAATATGTATACTTTCTAAGTTTTGAATAAACCTGTTGAGCCCTTCATCCATTTTGGCCTTCTTTTGTCTTACCGGATATGGTGGATTTGGAGCTGGTTGTTGAGGTTCCTTAATTGGTGCTGGGAATTGAATTTCCTCCATTCCAGGTTTTTAAACTGTTTGCTCCTGTTCAACCACATCATCATTATCAGATATTTTCTCATAAAATGTTTCATTCTTACCTACAGGGTCACTCACGGGAGTGACTTTTTCACTTGGCTGATTGAGTTGCTTTCCACTTCTAAGAGTGACAGCCTTTGCTTGCTCTTGGTCATTCTCCTTGGGGTTTACAACCGTATCACTGGGCGAGCTTCGGATGATCTTTCAGCATTTTGTTTTGCAATCTGGGCCAACTGATTCTCCAAACTTTTGCAAGACACCGCCAAATTCTTGATTGTATTTTGCACAGAAATCCATTCATCTTCCCTTGGTATGTACTGCTGGTTAGAACGCTGCTAATTCTGATAGTTGGGAGGTTCACCATCTTGTCTGTGAAATCCTGGGGGTTGAGTAGGCCTCTGATAGTTTCCATGTTGTGGTGCATTGTTCCAGTTAGGCTGCTATTGATTTCTCCAACTGTTGAAGTTGTTGAATCCCCCAGCATTGCCCTGTCTGACAAACT